GCAGCTGTTTGGAGAACTGATACCCCAAACTGAATGTAATCCAGAGCAGTTAGAGCCTTGTGTAAGTTATTGACCCACTGAAGCCATAATCTGTCAGGACTGGATGTTGATGGTCTGCTGCTTTTGGGAGCTGAGTGAATTCATTCCCACTTCACTTTCTTCTCCCCTCCTTCATCCTGCTTGGTGAAATGACATTACTTTTACATTATATTTATTTCCTGTTTTTGCTTTTATAGTGGGTTTTGGGTGAAGAAAAAAATTAGCTGATTTTATGAATTCTAAGCAAATGTTTGATGTCAATGATTGAACCTCTCTGGGAGAGGAGAAAGGGGAAAATTTGGACATCTAATCCTGGACTTGGCCAGGAGCCTCATATTTAAGGGTTCTCTCTCCCTCTCCACCAGAAACAGAGAGGATACATGTGTTGTATTATGTTAGAGATGGGAAGGGTTTTTTTTCTTTGTATTTTTTTTTTTAGGTGTTTTGTTTCCTTTTCAAGACTGAAACCTCATATGTGCAAAGTGGTTTCTGGAAATTGTCATATACTCAAAACAACAACTGTAAATGGTGTTTCATTCTAGTCCAAATGTAGTTCTAATCAGAAGCAGCTTTTTAAAATTTTTTAAGATTCATTAATTTATTTATTTTTAGTTTTCAACATTCACTTCCACAAGATTTTGAGTTCCAAATTTTCTCCCCATCTTGTCCCTCCCCCAACCCCAAGACAGTATGCATTCTGAATACTCTTTCCTCGAATCTGCCCTCCCTTCTATCTCCCCCCCCCCCCCAGCTTCTCTTATCCCATTCCCCTTCTATTTTCCTGTAGGGCAGGATAGATTTCTATACCCCATTGTCTGTATATCTTATTTCCCAGTTGCGTGTGAAAACAGTTCTTAACATTTGTTTTTAAAACTTTGGGTTCCAAATTTTGTTGCTTCCTTCCTCCCCATCCACCCTCATTGAGAAGGCAAGCACCTCAATACAGGTTATACTTGTGTAGTCATGCAAAACACTTCCATAGTAGTCACGCTATAGAAAACTAACTATATTTCCCTTCATCCTATCCCACCTCCATCTATTCTATTCTCTGTTTTGACCCTGTCCCTCCTCAGAAATGTTTGCTTCTGATTGCACCCTCCCCCAATCTGCCCTCCTCTCTATCGTCCCCCCACTTACTTATCCCTTTCCCCCCTATTTTCCTTTAGGGTAAGATAGCTTTCCATACCCAATTGACTGTATGTTATTCCCTTCTGAAGCCAAATTCAATGAGAGTAAGATTCACTCATTCCCTCTCATCTTCTCCCACTTCTCCTCCACTGTAAAAGCCTTTTCTTGTCTGTTTTTATGTGAGATAATTTACCCCATTCTACCTCTCCCTTTCTCCTTCTCCCAGGATAATCTTCTGTCACCCCTTAATTTTATTTTCCAGATATCACCCATTCATCTTCAACTCACCCTGTGCCCTCTATCTATCAATCTATCTATATATAATTTTTTTCCCCCTCCAACTACCCTAATACTGACAAAGGTCTCATGAGTTACAAATATCATCTTTCCATGTAGGAATGTAAACAGTTCAACCTTAATAAGTCCCTTATGATTTCTCTTTCCTATTTAACTCTTCATGCTTCTCTTGTATCTTGTATTTGAAAGTCAGATTTTGTATTCAGCTCTGGTCATTTCATCAAGAATGCTTGAAAGTCCTCTATTTCACTTAATGTCCATTTTTTCTCTTGAAGGATTATACTCAATTTTGCTGGGTCAGTGATTCTTGGCTATAATCCTATCTGCGTTGCCCTATGGAATATCACATTCCTAGCCCTCTGGTCCCTTAATGTAGAAGCTGCTAAATCCTGTGTTATTCTGATTGTGTTTTCACAATACTTGAATTGTTTCTTTCTGGCTGCTTGCAATATTTTCTCCTTGACCTGGATTTCTAGAATTTTGCTACAATATTCCTAGGAGTTTTCCTTCGGGGATCTCTTTCAGGAGGTGATCAGTGAATTCTTTCCATTTCTATTTTACCCTCTGGTTCTAGAATATCAGGGCAGTTTTCCTTGATAATTTCTTGAAAGATGATGTCTAGGCTCTTTTTTTGATCTTTCAGATAGTCCAATAATTTGTAAATGGTCTCTCCTGGACCTATTTTCCAGGTCAGTTGTTTTTCCAGTGAGATATTTCACATTGTCTTCTATTTTTTTCATTGTTTTGGTTTTGTTTTACAATGTCTTGATTTCTCATAAAGTTACTAGCTTCCAATTGGTCCATTCTAATTTTTAAGGAAGTATTTTCTTCAGTGAGCTTTTGGACTTCCTTTTCCATTTGGCCAATTCTGCTTTTGAAGGCATTCTTCTCCTCACTGGTTTTTTGGACCTCTTTTGCCATTTGGGTCAGGCTATTTTTTAAGGTGTTATTTTCTTCAGTATTTTGGGGGAATCTCCTTTAGCAAGCTGTTGACTTGTTTTTCATGATTTTCTTGCATCACTCTCATTTCTCTTCCCAGTTTTTCCTCTACTTCTCTTACTTGCTTCTCAAAATCCTTTTTGAGCTCTTCCATGGCCTGTAATTGATTCATATTTTTCTTGGAGGCTTTGGATGTAGGAACTTTGACTTTGTTATCTTCTTCTGGTTGTATGTTTTGATCTTCTTTATCACCAAAGATTCTATGGTCTGACTTTTTTTTTTTTGGCACAGTTTGCTCATGATCCCAGTCAATTACTTGCATTATAAATTCTTAGTTAAGGTAGGGGTCTGCTTCCAGTGTGAAGAATGTACTGTCCCAAGCTTCAGTGCAGCTGTTTCCAGAGATCCTTCTAGGGACCTGTAAGTTTTCAGTTCTTCCAAGGTGGTATGATCAAGGGCAAGGTGTTTACTCCTTTCCTGACCTGTGCTCTGGTTTACGAGTGACCACAAGCACTCTTTTCTGCCTTGGAACTAAGAGGAGGATTCCCTCTCCACCGCCACTACAAGCTCCACCATGCCAGCACTCCCCCTCGCCCCAGGATCACCACCTAGAACTGTGACCCAGATCCAAGCACAGGAAAAGCAAAAGAATCCATCTCAGCACCAGCAAAGAGATCCCTGCAATCCCCCTCTGATCAGCCACCTGATTCCCCTTCAGTCTGTGGGCAGAGCTCTGGAAACAGGCCACCGCTACTGGGCTGCACCAGGACTTGCCTGCGACCAAACTTCTCTCTCATCATGGACACAGACTTTTCCTACTGACTTTCTAAATTGTCTTTGGCATTTGTGGGTTGAGAAGTCAGGAAACCTCCACAGCTGCCTGTGATTCAGTCACCTGAGGCCTGCTCCAGGTTCACTGAGACCTGGTTTTACCCATGTGTCTGTGCTGAACTGTGTTCCTTTCCAAGCCTGGTGCGATTGACCTTTCCAATCAACCATCCAGGTTGTCTTGGGCTGGAAATTTGTTTCAGTCTATCTTTTTGTGGATTCTGCCACTCTAGGATTTGTTTAGAGCCATTTTTTACAGGTTTTTGGAGGGGTTTGGGAAGAGCTCAAACAAGTTACTGCTTTCACTCTGCCAAGAAATCTTGGCTCCGCTACCACCAGGAGCAGCTTTTGCTGGAAGATGAGGTATTTCCCTTCTGCATTTCTGTACTTTTAGGTACCAGAGAAGTCAGAGAAGGACTTGGAGTAGTCATATCAGAGACTTCTGAGATCTGGAGTTCCAGGGGTTTGTGATAAAGGGGCAACCTTTTGTAGTGTCCCTTGGGAGTCCCTCTGTTTCCTACTCAAGTTTGTAAAAGATGTCCTTGGCACATTTATTCTTCTTCACTAGACTATGCAATTGCTGGGCCATCTCTAGTTGTTCAGATCCACATCTAGCCACTGGACCTAGATGGCCTCCACAGATGGTTGTGGAGGAGAAAGTGAGGCTGGTGAGGTTGCACATCTCTCCCTTACTGAAATCCAATTCAATGCAAGTCATGTCATCACCTCCCTGATGTCATGGTCCTCTTGGAGATCAAAAGACAAACCACACAACCAGAATGTCTGCAGTTGAAGGAGAAATCAAGAGATGGAACCTGGGTGGTCCTGCCCGTGAAGAAACTCCTGGGCTGGTGAGCAAGCTGTCCAT